TACTTTGAAACGTTGTACATGCATAGTCTGGGACGTGCTATTGATTAAACAAAAACATAATGCGGAATAGCCCTATGTTCTATTGCAAACAAAAATAGTCATTTATCCCCATATGTTTTGTACACGTTTTCTTCTACCAGTCCACTTTGGCACTTTCGTTAATCCGATCAACTTAAGACTTAGTAGACACTTTGACCACCAACCCCAGATGGTCGCAGAAGATATTCGTGATTGTGACGTCATCAGGTGTCAGGTTACGTTACATTAAAATTGCATTTCCCCCATAGGTTTTGTACACGTTTTAAAATACTCCACTTTGGCACTGTCGTTAATCCGATCGACTTTAGACGTGGTACAAACCTAGACCACCATCCACATAAAACATAGAAGAAATTCTTGATCGTGACATCTTCAGGTGTCAGGTTACGTCACATTTAAGATGCATTTTCCCAAAGGTTTTGTCCACGTTTTTCTTCAAACGTTACACTTTGGAACTGTCATATGTCTGATTGACTTTACACTTGGCAGACACTAAGACCAGCAGACGAAGATGGTTCCCGATTAACTTCGTAAAAATTACGTCATCAAGTGTCATGTGATGTCACATTAAATGTGCATTTTTTTCCAAATCGCTTTAACTTCTGAAGTACAAGTCGGATTGGGTGAAAACATGGTATGCACTTGCAAAGGAATGTGTTATAGATAGAAATTGAAGTGAACGTCATTATGACGTCACCACATGTCATGTGAGTCACATTCAAAGGGCAATTTCTAAGGTCTATATCTACAGAACCATGGTCTGTTTGGATTGTTACTCGATATGTACCCATACCGGGATGTGTTGTGAAAAATCAAGTGATGGCATCATCAAATGTCATGGGACATAAATTAAAGGGGCATTTTTCGAATAAAGGTCTTTAACTACGAATAATGTGCTGTTATAAATGACATTTGAAGTGATGTCAAGTGTTCATCACATGCACAGAGTATTTCAAATATTTGAAACAGCTTGTGTTTGTCCACAAACACATTTCTAGTTTTTTTTTTATTAAATTCATGTGGGACTTTCAGTTTTTCTTTGTGTAATTTAAAGAGTATATAGACAATGGTGCTTGTAAAATGGTAATTTGTTTTAATCACGATTTTTTTTATTATCTGTGCTATATAATCTAAGTTAATTTTTTTTTCTGGCGCTTGGGAGTTACACTTTTATTTATTTAATTTCATGATATGCCAACTTTGACTTTTCGTAAATTAGAAGATGTGACTGATATTTGTATTTTTTATATTATTATTGAAGCCAAGCCGTTTGTTGAAGATTTTGTTTGTTTCTTTCCTGCACATGTAGGCACTATATACGCAGAAAAGGCCCATTCCAATGTTTTAATCAGAACATTTAATGACTTCATTTATCTCTTTCAAGTTATTTACTTTAGTTTTGTCTAATACATCGTTTTTATACAGTATTAAGTGTAAGATCAATATATTTGGAAGTGTTTATATTTCATTGTTCATAGTTTCGATTTTATATTTCTATTAAATTTATGTGCTATATGTGTGTGTTTCAAATTTAAATATATATTTATAAAAATGTGCTTTCGTTATGTATAAAGTTTTGATTACGGCCTTATCATGAATGAAATTGTTGAAAAGATGGCGGGAACGATAGTGCCATTAATATTTAACTACCACATTTATGCCGATGATACACAGATTTATGCTAGTTTCAATACTTCAGTCCCTGGAGATTCTTAAATAGCTCTTGACAAGCTATCAACATGTATCACTGACATCAAATTCTGCGGGATGTATACAGCCTAATGATGAAAAAACAGATGTTTTGTATTGCCGCTTCTCCTTGTGTAGCATCAATTCTCTTTCTGGCCTGACACTTCAAGTAGGATCTACCACTATCAAACCTTCATCTTTCATCAAAAACCTTTGTGTGATATTCGACTCCACTGTGTCTATATGGATCGTATTAATAAAAATCAGCAAATGCTGAGAAGTTTGAGCAAAAAGTAAAAACATTTATTTCTGCAGTAAAAGCATTAGGGAAAAGCAAATGCTTGATTCTATTTGAATAAAAAATGTTCCTTCACTGTTCAGCATTTACTAGACAAGCGGTAGCAAATGCTTTAAACTATTGGATTGTTTCATTGGACGAATGGTTGTCAACAATAGTGTATCTATTGTGTGTAAGAACTGCCACACACACACAAAGGGTTTATACGTATAGGGTAATAGTCCAAATCAAGTACATGTAGTACTGGTACTTGTAGTATATTTCATCCTCAAATGTAGCAAAATGATGAAGACACTGTTCGCCTGTTGCAGAATACAGAAAATATGCGTTCATTGTAAAGGTCCACAGTGTCATGTAGACGTCGCAATTGCATTTAAAAAAAAACACAGACACGTGTTAAAGCGGGGTAAAATCATACTAAAATTTAACACACAAAGGTTATTGTTTATTGAAATAAAACCAAAAAAATCAATATTTTGTAAAGATTGGTGACTTAATAAACTGTGCAGTCCCCAGGGTTGTCTATGTAAAAGATTTTTGAAAAGATTCAGACCAATGCAAGTAAATCGTCACCGTTTTCACGAAGAGGCAAATTTAGTATTTCACCGTCTAAACAAACATTAAAAATGCATAAAATATGCAAGATTTAGGTATCAGAGGAAAGAATAGCTTTTAATCTTCCTAAATGTAGCAAACTTTAAGAAAAATAGGTGATTATTTTGCATAATTAATCAATTCAGAGAAGTGGCTGTGCGGGAAAACGAAGAAAAAAATACCAATTAGCAAATTCGCCCCTTCGTGACAACCCGAAGTGACTACGCGCAGATTTCGCCCTTCTGCGCCGGTTTAAGTCAATGCATTTTTGTACAGTACGCGCAGATTCTTCCCCACTGCGCATGCGTCTTGAAATTTGCCCCTTCGTGAAAACGTTTTATTGCACGCGCATGGAATTCGCCCTTCCGTGATATACGCGCAATTGTATTACAATGTATTTATTTATTGAAAACTTATTAATACCATACAGTGCGGAAATTCGCCCCTTCGTGGAAACGCAAAACGGCACTTTGGCAAATTCGCCCATTCGTTAATTAGGTTAATTAAGATTTTAATTAATTTTTTTGAAAGTACAGCCTCACCAGGTTGTAGATATTGATATACTTATTCATTTTCACCAATTTTTATCTTCGAAAAACAGACGATTGCCATAAAATTCGCCCCTTCGTGAGAACGGTGACGAAATGCTTGAAAATAGGTAGTAAAACAAATACTAGTGTTTTTTTTTATACATACGTCCCATTGACTTCAGTCATTACAACTTTGTACGTCAATCATATAAGGTTTTTGAAATTATGTTCTTACCTAGTACACGAAGTGGCTGAACAATCAGCAGTAACACCACAAGTCTAATGGCACACCCTCCTACGCCTCGTCGCGTTAGGAACATTGTTGCAAGTGTAACCTGGGGGAAAAAAAGACACACTTTGAGGAAACTCGCACAAAAAGACTCTACGGGGATTTTACTGATCAAACTACATTTGTAAACTTAACTCTGGATCTTTTAAAGGAACGGTCGCAAGGCCAGGGACACAGACACAAATTCTAGATTTAAATAAAAAATATACAAAGGAACTAATTTACAAGAACTTAAAATTACCTAAAACCAGAAACTTCAAGTTCAAACTGACCAAAAACTAGGACCAAGAAAACCAACACTAAAAAAAAAAAAAAAATGCAGACTAAAACCTAAAATCAGTGCTTCTATGTGGCTGTGAATGAACAACCACAGATGACGCAAATGGACCATGAACAAACGTTCTTACCGCCTTAGCTTTTAGGCAGCCTATTAGGAAATACTAGACCGAAGAAAGCTTCTAAACGGTACTACAATTCGTTGATCGCTTGTACTGCATATTTTATTCCGTGGTTATAACGAATTACTTAGACGTATACAACGGCATTAAAGATACGATACTGCGTCGACTAACACATTGGTCTACAAATGGTCGCAGCTATCACATTAGTTTCGTTTGTGGTAATTCCTCACAAACTTTAAGTCTTTCCCCGAGTTATAGTCTCCACTCTCCAATGTCCATCGAGCAACCTAAACTGTTCCCAAACAGTTGTGAAACTATTATAGAGTGTTCGGCGCAAAGTGCGGCATACTCTACACTCTAAAAAAGAAGTGTAAATTTATGTTGTGTAAAACTGTTGTGTCATTTCTGCCCAATATTGAGCAAAATGAAAATTTCGCTTGTACCTCCTACTTGTGTCAAAAGTGTTACACATGTAAAGGGTAAAATAGTACCCAACATTGACTACAAGTCCCGGCAGCACAGGCAAAAAGTTAAAATCATGGTATTATTACCCAAGTGATGGGTTCAAGAAACTGGATTTACCCCACCACTGTGTAACAATTCTCTCATTGCACCCGTCGAAGAGTAGAATTTACCACGACATTAGTAAAATGTTACCACTGTGTGGGGTAAACTGACGCACGTGACAACGTTTACCCAATATTGTGCAAGGCGTTATCACTCATGTACAAGATGGCCACCGCTTGTGAGACCTTCAACAATTGGGGGATTTTGAAGACGTGATTTCTTTGTTCCAGGTAAGTCAGTGAAATGAATTTCAGTGTTGTTTCCTCCAAATGCGATGCTGATGTATGAGGAACTGAGGATTAATATCGGGGAGATTGGAGAAGTGACATGCTTATTATTTAGACATTTATTTGCAACTTGGACGTCACGGCTCTGCCAACCACGATTCCATGCACATGATGCATGCGTTTCATGTACCGTATATAGTGAGTGTTCTCAGTTCTAGAAACACGGAGTAAAGTGACCTACATTTGGGGAATGGTTTTTGAATGAGTTGATTGAGGGAAATTCTAACACCCCTGCCCTTCATTTAGCCCACGTTCCTCGTAATAGTCCTCATGCGTCAGCACCATATTTGGGGAAATGTCATCTTATTCATTTTACTGACTTTCCAACCCAGGACTCAGTTATTGAAATCCCTCGCGATTGCTGTCTCTAGCATGCAATTCACATTGCAGAGTTCAAAGTTGAATAAAACCGCAAGGTACAAAGGTACACAACAACTAATTTAAAAACAACCCAAGTGATGGGTAAATTTAGAACCCAACAGTGCAGGGTAAAAATTAGAACCCCATATCTGGGTAAGAAACTGACACAACACCTGGGTTTCAAGAGGGTTGGGTAAAGTTTACCCAATAACTGAGTAAAAGGGGAACATGGTCGTCACATGGGTAAACTTTCTTACCCAACTTTGTTGGGCAAACACTTAACACAATTATGGGTAAAAGTTACACTGAAATGGGTACTTTTCTACACTTTAGCTGTTGTGTAAAAAAAACTACACAAGTTGACGACCAGGTTCCCTTTTTTCTCTCGAAAAGGTAGTAATTTTACCCAATATTGGGCAAATATTTTTTAGAGTGTAGTTCTACACATTGGTTGTGCATGTGATAGTCATGCCTAGTTGATCACGTGAAGGTTACGTGAAACATGGTTTAACCAATTTATCTTGGTTACATTATCGATTATTGTACCAGACGCAATTAACCATTTGTCAATGGTTAATATTCAACCAAAACGTTGGTAAACTTAATGAACACGATTTTCAACACACTTTTGTTATCAATGACATAATCCATTGGTTACATGTAACCAAAAGCATGGTTAAAGTGACCAATTCTGTTTAACCACTTGTTTGGTTGTAAATTGACTAAGGGTTTTGAACGATTGGTCAAGGTAACCAATACGTCGCAACCCATGAAAATGATAACCAGTTGACCAATCGATGGGTATAGGTCTAACAAAATTACTGGTTATAATAACCAAAAGTAACATGACCAAATATATTTGTTTATTTTTAACAATTTGTTTTTAGAGTGTACACTGAAGATAAAATCTCTGGATAGTAGGTCTATATATATAGATTTGGGAACTTCTTATATGCACTGTATTGTTTTGTGTAAATAATGCAATCTTGCCATCGTGAATCATTAACCTAAGGATATGTCCAAAGCTCCGAGACGAAAACATGCTCGACGCTAAACTTAGAAACAATATCTACTCTCCACGATTACACGTACAATATTGAATTATGAACAATGCATTTTATGATTAATGTTCGTCTCCCCGTCCTATTGTCGAATTTTATCCGAAAAAAGAATCTGTTTGTGAATCTCTTCAGCAATACAAACAGTGTTTTTTTATGAGTCATCGAACAAAAGTGCAATCCACACGCTTAGTTGTGCAATATAGGTTTTCCCGGCAAACTTAAAAGTTACCAGATTTGGCGGCCAAATTGGCGAGCAATCACCCATTTCTGCACGACTTTGAATGCACGGTGAGATCAACATTCAATTACCTAAAAACACCAATCAATTTCACATTAAAAGCATGCGATTTCACATTTTAATCATGCAATTTCAACGATAGGGCATTCCAATTTAAATTGCACGAACGAGCATACAAATGCTGGAGCTTTCATGCTGTGTACATTTGGTATTTACGTTGATCATTAAGCAAGCAAAGGTGAAAAGTAAGCAAACTAATTCGAAATATGTCTTTGTCGTTAAGTCGTTTTTTAGAATAAGATGAAGTGCTTTTGTTCCAATTCGGAAATATAGATATAAAAACCTGTTTCTCACAAGGCTCTGCCACTACGCAAACTGTTAGATTGAAGCACTTGAAATATCAATATGCCAGCTCATGGGCGTTACATAAGAATTTCAGTTGAATATCGTCGCTTGATGCCCAAGACTATTTTGAACTATAGACAATCTTGGCATAAAAAAGATACTGCCAGCTCAATTGTAGCAACGTATCTGATATCTGGCAGACGGGAAAACCTGACAAGAGGAGGGGCCAGAAACACAGATATGGACCACGACATGAAGCAGAAATAATGAAACTGTGAACTAAATTATTGACTCGCATCGTATACCTTCGTTTGCTTACATTTTTGAAAAAGAGTGCTAAATAGAATGTGAGAAAATGAAACCGATAACAAGAATCTCAGGGAAATAACCCTTAACCAAACCGACTGCTACATTGAATGATCACTTTAACCAAATGACATGACTTCAATTTAGGATGTGTTCAACATGAAAATGTCAGGTCTTAATACAAATCTGAACGTCTGAAATCTAATACGAACCACGGGAATGACAGCAGGGCGCTACTTCGCTTCAAATTGTTCACTATCAAGGTTAATTCGAATGTTATTTTTGCGAAATTGGCCGGGAAAACCTATTTTTACTTTATTAATTTCGAATTATATTTGTGTGTAGGCGTATCGTAACCCGTTTTGGAGGGCGGAAAAGCCTGGTTAAGAATAGAAAAAAAAGTAGGGGAGCGGGGGTTAGTTGGAACGATTTTCACAAAAACATATCCATAACACAAACAGGTTTTTTGCAAGAAACAGCAACTATGCCAATTTATTCATACACATGTGTGTTGCAAATGTAGCATATAAAATTCTCAGAATTGTTGAAAGTTATTTTAAAAATCCTTCTTGATCACAACTACGACATGTGTTCCAACTAACCCCTCCTATGGGGTAAGTTGGAACATGGTATGGGTAAAGTTGGAACTTGGTATGCTGTTAATCTGAAAGTATACTACAATTACTTAAACACTGCATTTATATTTGAGTCCAAGTAAAATAATTCTTCCAAGCACTGGTGATGCTCCTAACATTTTTTTTTAATTAACAAACTGGCAAGAAATGGCACAAACAGCACCAAGACAAAAAAAACACAGGAAAATTGCGAGGCAAGAGTCAGTTACAAGCCTTAACATAAAAAAGACAACATCAAGACGGGAAATTTAACTCCCCAAAAATAACATGAAAAGCTTGTATAAAATTTAGGTAAGGTCAACGTGTAGGTCTATGTGCTTTCAAAATTGTTTGCCAAGTCAGAATATTTCCTCAATTATCATCATTATGTTCCAACTAGCCCCCATCAAAATGTTCCAACTAGCCCCAGTGGCCCATGTGACATTTGTTCGCTCACTCTAAGAAACGGGGTCTCCAATAACATATCTTTTTAACCTTATTTTGTAGCTTAGTACTGGAGCATATTATACCCCCAAACTAGTCACTGTTATCTATAAACACCATTAAGAAAGTACACATTTTTTGAATGGTAAAAAAAATTCTCAAAAGGTGAAAAAACAAATTTATCTTTTCCACTTGAGCACTATTGTTGCAGTGTTTCTGCAGGCAATATGGTGGATGGCTGTTGCTAAGGGACACCTCTTGGGGGCATCATTTTATAAAATTTAATTAAGCTGTGCAAGAAAAATTCATTGTTTCAACTAACCCCGTGTTCCAACTAACCCCCATCTCCCCTACTTTTTCCTCAACATTTTTTTTTTTGACAAGGAATATGTTAAGGATCACAGTTGAGCAGCTGTCCTCAATGGCTCAAATTGTTTTTTGTTCTCCCGACGCATTTATACACTCAAAAACAAATCAGTTAAAAATAACCAAATTTATTTGTACGTCACGTTACTTTTGGTTGTCATTACCACTAATTTGGTTAGATCTTAACCCATCGGTTGGTCAACTGGTAACCATGTTTGTGGGTTGCGACATATTGGTTACCTTGACTAATCGTTGGGTGAAAACCGTATAATTGATAACCCAAAAAAGTGGTTAACTATAATTGGTTTTACTAATTTAACCAATGCACAGGTCAGCAATAACTGACTACTAGAGTTTGTTGGTTTAATCGTTTTCCTTGAGTTAACCAAAGCTTTCGTTGAATATTCACCCAAAAAATTGTTAATCATGTCCTGGCCTCATAATGGCTTATTTGGCCAAAATAATTGGTTAAACCATGCTTTCACGTAGCCTTCACGTGAACAGGGCATGACTTTCACTCGCACAACCACTGTGTAGAACTAGGGCAGGCCGCGAATGGCGCGTAACACTTTATAGTATCACAACTATGTGAGAACAATATGCAGTGAAATCTCGATAAGTCAAAACCTGTTAACTCAAAAATCCTTCTAACACAAAGTAAAAACTTATTCCCGTCAGTAATTGTTGAATAGAAATTCCATTGGATAACTCAAAACTCTGCTTAACTCAAAATTTGAGCTGATTCCCCTCTGGTTTGACTTATCGAGATTCCACTGTAGATTGCAAGATGGTCACTAGAGAGTTGAGACACGATTCGGGAAGGATTTAACGTTTGTGAAGAATTACCACAGAAGAAAATCATGTCATGGCTACGACTATTTTAGTATTTGTAGGCATATGTGTTAGTTGACGCGGTGTCAGATCTTTATCCATTTCTAACCAAGGAATAAAATATGCAGTTAAAGCGAGCTACGGAATGAAGTGCCGGTGTAACTGTTAATATCTGAATTTCTGCCTTAAACCTACGGTGGTAAGAAGGAATCTAGGGCCTATTCAAGAGTGCATCTACGGTTTTGCATAGTCCATTCGAGTCATCTGGTGCTTCACTTGGACAAGGAAAAATAGAATTGCAATGGGCAGTCGCGAAGGTTAATTTAATTAAGCTAGGGGACGGGGAATGGAGTTCAACCAATGTCAATTGGTCGACGCAGGATTAACCAACCAAAATTTGTTAAACTTCACCAAGGAAATATGTTAGCGGTACTCCATCGACCAAATCCTTGATTGAGATGAACTTCCACTTTGGGTTATATTCTGTTACCATTTCGTATTGGTAGGGTTTGATCACGAAAAATGTGTTGTCATAAACCAACCATGAATTGGTTGACGTTTTTATCAATAAGCAAAATAGTCAAAAGCTTTCCAAAGGTCTGTTGGTCATTTTGACCAAACGGATGGTTGGACACATATTGGTTATCGCAACCAAAATGGGGGGGGGGGGCGGGGGGTGGTATTTCTCTGAAAAATCCACCCTACGAATAGAGCGGTTCCCGTCCTTAACCTCATAACATGGAAATTCGGAAAACCATCAAACTGGTCTTCTGCATAGTCCATCTTTCAGTGCTTATAATTATTTTCGCTCATCCAAAGTGAGCAACACAGCTGCAATGCATCGGGCATGAACGTATTAGCATTTCACCTTGGGAACAAAGTAGGCCTATAAGCAGTACAAAGCACCAACAAGGGAAAGTATGCTGCATTACTGTACACTGGGAACAATATTTATAAAACTGAGTGAATGTGCTAATGTGGGGAATTATTTGCACTATGAACGTGTTGCCATGAATATATGAATACCACGAAGGTACCACTATCCAAATTACAGTTTAATTCAAGCATTATAAATACCATCGTTAATGGTATGCGTTGTTAATGGCAATTAACCCCTACATAAGAAGGTGGTTCTCGAACCACGAGTCACGCCTGTTTGAGTTTTTTGACAGAGAAGAAGCGTGCATTGTAGGTCGGCGATGGCAAGGGGTAGTTATGCGGATGAGAGGGCCCTGATCAGTGTAGAAATAATTATTGGTAGAGATGAGGGTTGAATTGTATGAACTGCTAATAATGACCTAAAATGACTTTTGACCCAAACGTGTGCAATTTCAAATTACAGTCATATGAAGGTTCCCATGTTGCGCCCAGTACCCAAGTTTGGTTCCAATTGGACTCGAAATTTTCAAATGAGACCAATTTTACACTTGTAGGATATTCTACAACTCGTCCTCAGATGACGTTTGACCTCGGTATGTGACCTTTGATATCATGATCATATAAAGGTTATCATGTTGCATCTATGACCCCAGTTTGGTTCCCAATTAGACTTCAACTTTTCAAATGAGACAATTTTTTTTAACTAAAATACCACATACATACATAGTACGGACGGACAACCGTACGGACGTAAAACACATACGTACATACGTACAGACAAAGTGATTGAATGGTCTCTTCCCTGAACTTTGTTCAGGCGAGACAAAACAAATTTGTGTAAAATGGAAGACTAAATAAAACCATGCACATCACATACCTACCTTAAAAAGTGATCACTTGATGATCAGCACAGATGATGCATTTCTCTCTCTAGTTCCAATGCAATTGCTCAGCTCAATATGCTCTGACCGTCTTCAGGAGAGTGCCTAAACTCTAAACTTTAATGTAATTTGCTATAGTATAGACGGCGGTTCAAAGTGCCCATTGGTAATATTCCCACATTGCCCTAATACAGAACCTGAGCGAAGTGAGAAATACTAGACATTTTGACGTATTTTGCTTTAGATAAGGGCTTGTCAAAGTACCCATTGATAACATTTCCAAATTGTCCTACTCTAGGCCCAGGCAATTGTAATATGCTATAGGGCTGTTCAAAGTACCCATAGGTTTTATTCCCACATTGCCCTACTATTGAACCTGGGGTAAAGTGGGAATTTCGGTGAATTTTATTGCAATTTGCTATAGATAAGGGATGTTGATATCGGAATGTCAATATGCCTAACTATGCTTCTACTGAACACGTGGCAAATATAGACTACTTGTAGCTACTTAGCTGCATTTATACATGGCGCAAAGTAGGGCAGAGTAAGAATCATCAGTCTGTGACTAACAATATTTACAAGGCTACAAACATTTTATGGACGAAAAGAGTAAGCGAAATACATTGAATAACAATGCAAGTCTATAGCTTTACAACAGAGGACAACAATAAGGTGCCAACATTAAATGGCAACATTTGCGCACTCATTGAACCTGATAACAAAATTGAATTTTGCATGAATTACAGTATTTCTTGGGCCAACATTTCAGCTTTTAACGGGGTGTTAAAGTATTATCATAAATATTATCCCTCGATCAGATCCTGCGAGAAAGCTTCAAAGTAACATAAGCATCATTCCCCAATGTAGGAATATTACCAATGAGTAAATTTAACAGCCCTCATCGATTGCAAATTCAAATATAATTCACCCAAATTCAATTAAAATTTACCAAAATTCAATTAAAATTTACCGAAAGTCCCACTACTACCGGCTTTGGAAGTAGTGCAATGTGGTAATATAGGGGCTGTTTCAGACGTCGTGCTTTATGTCGCGTCGAATAAAATTGAATTTAGCGCGTGTGTGGTGTAAGCACGGCAGTGGTTTCAAACGTCGAACTTAATTACAAACGCCTAGTCGAATTTAAATAAATCCAACATGGCGGACCAACAGTCACAACAACAAAGCTTGGCCGGTGTCCCTTATTGTAGTCATTTTGTTGTCGTGGCCCGATGAGAACATTACGCTAATTCCTCATCTGCTGATGGATGCACCCCTGTATTAAAAGTCCCGTAGGCACCAATGCTAAATGCCCTACTTCAAAATTCTTTTAAAAATACTCAGAACTCTGACAGGTATTTGAGCTGCATAGAAAAATGATGATCAACATGTCATCTGTTCATTTTCTTTTCAAGTTTTGGTGGGTTGACCATTGACTTTTCGAGAAATTCCGATCCAATGAAAACGTTCCCGATTTTCCCAAAGCGGAAAAGTCGCAATCTTAATAAAACGATCCCTTAACAACATTTCAAAATAGCGCCAGTTTTAAGTCCAATTTCATCTAAAATGCTCAGAATTGGAAGCCCCAAGTCCGGGCCAGAGGTTCATTGCCATATCTCTTCGATTCCCAATAATTGTATGGCACTCAGATAATATAGAATATTTTGAGGGTACAACTTTTCTTCTTGAGCTCGGCGGATAGGTTTAGGCCTATTTACAGAAGTGCAACCCTATGACTCATGAAAATGTTCCCTGTGAGTCGCCATATTTGTTGATGCGTTTGTTAGTTAATTATTTCTTTACTCGTACACACGTTGCGCGCATGCGCATTCCTAATTATAAACGATGTTCACGGCAGTAGCACGACGCGTGGTTTCAAACGTCGTGCTACTGCCGTGTCGAATACAATTTCAATTCGAAGTTCGCCAGCCAACTGCGAATCGAAATAACATTCGACACGGCAGAAGTACGACGTTTAAAACCGCGATGTGCTACTGCCGTGCTAAATTGGTAATCACGTCTGACCCTGTCGAGCTAAATCTTCTGCCGAGCCGAAATCATTAATTGGTTTCAAGCGGCGTGCTTGTGCCGTGTCGAATAAAGGCAATTCATGTTTATTTCTATTTGACACGGCATAAACACGACGTCTGAAACAGGCCTTACCCATGGGTCATTTAAACACCCTTACCTGTAGCAGTAGACTATAACTGAGTTTAAAGGTAAGGACACACTATCACATTTCCTTCTTTTCATTGGACTAATGTCCTATTTTGAACCTTTGTTATTGTGAAGATGTTTAGCTTTTGCACAAAATAATGAACATGTTTGGGCCCCTTCCATCTGGTCAGGAGCATTGAACTCATGGTCTGCAGGAAATTCTGCAGGATGTGAGTTCGAGTCCAGCCTGGAGTTATGGTGTGTGTGTCCTTGGCAAAGGCACTTTGTAACTCATTGCTAACTAAACAGTTAGCTTCATGACTCATCTTCACAGTGTGGGTCATGTAATGTATGAGTCCGTGACAGATCCAGGTTTGAGTCAAGAGGGAGTTTAGCTGACAAAACGGGGTTTAGCAAGATTTTGCTGAGTTATTCTGCACAACTTCACGTATATGTGGCCCAAGAGGATGCTTTACACCCCCTTAAACCCCCTCCAATAGATCTGCCAGTGTAGGCATTAATGAAATACATTAGGCAGTTCTACTCTAACATTACTTCATAGGCCGATTAAACAAAATGATAACCCCAGATTGAGAAGTTGAGTTCCTCAAAGAGTCAACTATTTCACATTACAGATGGAATGCAATGGCTGAGCCTGATGATGGCAGCACCGCCAATCTTGCTGTTGATACTTCCATATTTGCTGTCGGCCCTGGTGAGTTCAAAGATGCCGGGAGTGATGACGAGAACCAGCCTAGTACCAGCAGTGCAGCAAGCTCATCAACCCAAGAGAGGCCCAAGTCTGCAAGTTCTGATGGTACTTCTTCCAAGAAGTCCAGCAAGAAGGCAACCAAAAGGCCTTGGTCTGGCCTTAGGCGTTCAAACGCTGTTGAAGATGCTTCTCTCGTAGCTGGAGCAGCTTCCAATGTGGATGGCGCAAGTCCTGCTGGGACTTCCACACCTGATGTCCCTGGTCCCTCTGAGAGCCCTGCCTTTGCTGATAAGTGGGCTGACCCAACCTTATCTTCTCAGAGCTGGGGAAGTCTCCAGGATGACGCTGATTATGCTCACCAGAGTGAAGCATCCCAAGAAGCAGCAAAATGGGACGAGCCGAGTCAGAAGGATGTTGAGGTTCCTGAAGAGGAGGAGATGCTGGATTTGCCGAAGTCTCCATTCTCCTGCAACGAGGATGATGTCGGACAAAAGAAACGGGTACGTACCTTTACTTCGCAAGTGAAAAAAAAACACTTTTTAAGTTAACAAAATTCCGTGGCTTGTTTTACCTTGAGTAGAGGCTTAAGGCCAAAAAAAAAAGTCTCCGGTTTCTGGTATGCGCGCGCGTCGCCGTAGCCATGCGCGTCGGCAAAATGAAAAAAAAAAATTCAATAAAAGATGATGTCTCAAAACCGCCAAACTCACTGGTTTGACTGGAATCCTGCTGCTGCACAATTTTAACGTGTTTTTAGATGGGGTTATGATCGAGAATAAGCTTCATGTGGCCTCTCTGGACTCCCATATATTTGCACTAAGTTTAGTCGGGCACCTGGCATTTGCAGTCATCAGCCGACATTTGAAGCAAAAAAAAAACCAGGTTAAAAAAAAAAAAGCAGCGTCGCTGCACCACTTTTTGGGCAAGTTCCACACTAGAAACCGGAGACTTTTTTTGGCCTAAACCTGACAGGGATAGGAATTAATTTTGCTGCATTTCGATGAATGGTGCCCAGCATTTTCTGCTTCAAATGGTGAACATCAGAACTGTTGTTAATTTTTTTTTAACTGGAAGTAAATTTTGCAACTGTGTTTTCTCCACAGCCTTCCCTGCAATCCGGTATGAGCTCCACACACGTCAGCTACACTGACCTACTTAGGGAAATCGACGACTCGGTGGTGTAAACGAGTCAGCAAAAACACCAAATGTATGTCTACACTCCCTTGGACATCTTGTCCATTGGCAAACCTAAAAAAATAACAACTTTTATTACAGTATGAATTAATCCCTCCTCAATACTTCTGATCATTCATCTGAAATCCCAATGTTGATGACAGCAGGTGTGGTAGCATATTTTTTTATACTGTGATCTTGTGGACAATAAAACATGTTGACGTCTGTTCATCATGGAGTATGTAACAGGAAACTCAATGAGACTATGCTATAATACTTTGCATAAATACCACACTTATAGTGAGAGTATTTTGTGTGTCGAAGTAACGTACTTGATGATATAAAAACAAATCCAAAACCCACATGACTTTAAATTGTCTATCCAGTCAGAAGTTCGTCACCGTTGTCACGAACAGCCACATACTATATATATTATGTTGATTTTGTAGAAAAGTGTTTTCGAGATAATCGCAAAAAGAAGTTTCTCATATTTTAAAACTTCAAGAAATACTACTTTGCAACAACTTTGTGCAGCCAGGAAACCATCACACGATTCTACGAGAGCTGAAGTTTTACATGAACCCGATAATAAGACTTAATACAGCAGTTAATTAGTAACAATTAATTAGTAAAGATATGTGGCTCTTCGTGAAAACGCAAATTTAGGTTTCCGAGATATTGGCCCTTTCTGTTCAACGTGTATTTCCATGGGCGCGCGCGAGTACGCGCGCGCAGCTGAAAATGTAACAAAGATATGTGGCTCTTCGTGAAAACGCAAATCCCATTTGACCTACTTTTACGCATTTCCGTGCAATGGGTTTTGTACGCGTTCAAAGGGCCAAAATGTATGTGGCTCTTCGTGAAAACGCAAAATGCATTAATCGAGATTTCTGCCCCTTGTAACATTAATGAAACTTAGAAAATAATGATGTTTTGCTTACAGAAACATGTCAAAATGGTTAAGTACATTGTTTTAATGCGAAATATTGAAAAAAAATCAAAATCGAAAAAATTGTAATTTTTGACATATGTGGCTCTTCGACATGTCAGTTTGCCAAGTGTGAGAAGAGCATCAAAATCAAAGGTTTGCCTTGTGACAGAGACATCAGACAAAAAATCATGGAATGGAATGTTTTTTCTGCTTTTTATCTGCTTTTTATCTTTGTTTCCTATTTTACCCAGAATCTAGTCATTAGTTGTTTATTAAATAGATTATAAGTAAATTTGGCTTTATAATATTAGCATTTTCTGATGGATATAAGTAATTTCTCGGATATGCATTATCAGTGATTTTAAAAACATTCGAATTTGATTAAAGAGCTAAAATACATGTTAATATTGCTCTTTTCGCTAACAATTTTTAAAAAAATCACATATTAAAGCTAGGCGAGTACACAAGGCAACCATAGTCCTGCGCTAGTGATAAGATTGGAAACATAGTCCGATGCACTATTGTAAACATGGTAAAATGAATAGATAGAATAGCCAATTAACAAAATAAAAAGCAAATACAAAAATCACAGTGATTCAGATTACCAGACAATGAAGCACCTGGGCAGCAATAATGCTTAGATTTCTGCGGAATTTGGCCTCAAAGTATCTCTTAACTTAAAACTGCATACTGAAAATTATCAGGATTTTTAAACCATAAAGACACACAAAAATCGAATGGTTGTTAACTAATCACTTCAATCTCGATTAGTTGTGTAGTTACGTTGCACAAATCATCCATGATTTCTAATCATGATAGATTACCTTTTTTTGCAGAATTTTTTTTTTTTTTTTAGAACCTATTACACTAAATTTTACCTAATGCCTTATAAAACTCTGATGTGTAAGTAGAAGTTGCAATGGAGTGATTCACAAGTCAGAAGTAATGGACAGAATTAAAAATGTGGGTTTTTCGCCGATTCAAGGAACAACAATACAATGAATCTTAAGCAGATTATTAAAAATTAAACTAACCTGTCAAAATTTCAACTCATTAGTTAAACTCTTTTTGGAAAACTCTGAAAATCCTCTTCATTTTTTTCTCTTGATGCAAAGCATAGGTTTCTGTTAAAATCATGATGGTTTGGGCCTAGCCATCGCGCCAAAAATGATGATAAATTCCTCTTTTCCCAAAAGATGACGGCATTTAGACGCGATGATTTCACAGGATGCATGATCTTAATTACTTGCAATCAAGATCCATTACCTTCAAGTCATATACATAACGGGGCACAAACATTGCCGAAGCAATGCATTAGTCACATTTCAGTTGAATAGCTTACTTAAAATTGGATGACTTGTAATGACATCATTACAGCTCTCTGCATGTGAAGTGAATACAAAAATTAATGTTACCCGGTTGAATTGTTGACCGAATTGTTGACCAAATTGTATAAGATTTACTGCACCGTAGATGATAAACTTTCCTTTCTTGAGCATGCCTATTATTTGTGAAGTATGTTGAGTTATATATCCAGCCCATATTGCGTCAAAGAATGGATAAGCAATATTTTGTACACTGCGATGAGAGGAAGTCGAAATTTCTCAGTCCTTTGTTTTGCTAGATGTTCAAGTTTTAATAGACACCATTTCCGAAGTAAATAGACATTCCACTAGTAGTCATTTAGCCACCAGTTTAGTCATTTTATCCACCAGTATAGTCATTTTATCCACCACTGGTAATTTTTATCCACCAGCTGTAATTTTATGCACCAGTGGTCATTTCATCCACCATTGGACATTTGTCCACCAGTAGTAATTTTCTCCACTCGTGGGGAAATTATTAGCGAATCAACCGGGTCGTTTGTGGGACGAGTAGCTGCGTGCCTCTGGATACGTTTATGCAGTATTTTAAAGATAAAGTACATCCGTTTGCAGCTATCCAAAAAGTAACTGACAATATTATTGTTGAAAAGCCTACTTGGTCAGTAATGACACTAATTCACTCCCTGGAAAATACTATTTCTGGCATGCTGTCATTTTGAAGAAGAAGAAAAAAAGGTCATTTCCAAAGATGCATCTAATAACGCGTTTTTGGAAATTTTCGTTAGTAATTCGTAATGCGAAGTTGTCCCCGCCCCTTAAAGAGGAAGTTTGTCAAAAATTGTGTTACAACAGGTAATTATCAACACAAGACTTTCATCTACAGCAAAAAGTCTTGAGAAATGACTCTCCTTCGGGGCTTATTTCGCCATATTTTTGTTTGCATTGGACGCCCCGCCCACAAAAAGGTCGGAGTAAAATAGGTATTCAGTATTGTACATTCTTCATTTTGGCTAAAAAAAAAAAAACGCCAGAAAACAATCTACAGTGGGTAGAAAAAAATGCATCAAGTGGATTTGGGTTTATAGTGTTTCATTATTAATCCCTGAAATATTCAAAGAATGCACCCACTATTGCAAATGATAGATGATTTTTGACCATAAACTAACTGACTATAAGAAGAATCGACGAAACAGTGGAGATTCTTTGATTCGAATGTATACCCAGCACGATACGTGACACATACCATCACCCTAGATCCCCCCCCCCCCCCCCCCCCACAATCCCACCTAGATATCTCAAAAGAATTCCTGAGATTCTGGTCACACTATGACTAACAAAAAAGACAGGAGGGGGTTCCGTGAAATTCCGTCTGTCACATATCGTGCCACATATGTTCGAATGCCATTTGAATCCAAGTCTCTTCACCTTTTGAGTCGTTTCTTTATCTTAAACTACGTCCCTCCCGCAACTTTTGTCCAGTATAGACGAATCCGGGCACGAGGCCCCCTTCATACGGAGACACCGTTGAGCACGCTATTGTACAAAGCAACGGTCAATAGTGAAGGATTGTCTAAACAATAGCTAGCACAATGCTTTCACCATTGAAGGGGACCTCCGCCATAGAACTGATAACGTGACCGGATCGGTCTGTACAATGAACAAAGAGTGTCGATTCGTATTAATGCTTGAGCTATGAGATGAATTCGATCCATTGTTCAGTGTTGGTTAGCTGGCCTGTTCATTATTTACTTGCGCCTTTACCAAATCTTATTGTTGACCCTTCGGATGGCTGCACAACTTTTGTTCCATTCATCACGACGCACAGTACATGTACATTTGTCCCAGAAATACATGTACACGGAAAGTCACACTCAGTCACAATCACTGGGTGTGTCAAACACTCTTTGTTATTTACATGTATGCTACAGCTACGGAAATATACTGGATTACGAAAACTACGAAAATGCTATTGATGTGGTCATGCGGAATTTCTTGAGGAGTGTTATACACCAAGGACAAGGAACTCTGCAAGCAGCTCACGGAGTACGCATCGGAATATTATTGGAAATCATTTCGTTTAGACGAGTATTGATTGGTAAGTTTCTGGCGGTCAATTTGATTTATTTAGTTAGTCATTATACACGGGTTGACCTTTGGTTAATCTCATTGGTTTTTTAACGTAGGACTGTATAGAAAATTAGAATTTATATAGAAGCGCGAGGACAGACATTTGACAACTCAAATCCAAACACAGGAAACTTAAACTCGGCTTCCAAAGAATTTAATGGTATGAATTCCGTACTCGAGTGCCATTTATCTGCCGCCAAATACTTAAATGTTCACCTTATACACCTTGTGATTTCATTGAAGACAAATCCAGGAAGCTCTTTAAATGCAAATAAATGTCATGAAAAATGTGTTTTTAGCGCACATTTTGGATGTTACATCAGCTCACCAGCAGACGGTCTAGGCGGCCATTTTTGACAATGATAATTGAATTCTGCGGTGCGCATGACATGGACAACGCACTACCCAATGCAATACGTCATCATGAATATTTCATTTGTCATGAATATTTAGTTACTAAATATTGATTAGATAAAAATATATTTTAAAAAAACACATACTTCAACAAGCGCTTTCGTGCAGTGTAGCGGTATAGGGTCAAGGGTGGATCCGGGGGCAACGCCATTCCCCCCCCCCAGCCCCCCCCCCCCAGCCCCCCCCCCCCAAAAAAACCCAATATATATATGTTTTTAAGTGACGTCACAATAAAGGCAGGCATGCGTATACCACCATCTTTCACTTCAAAGTGAAAGGTCAAAGTGGTCAGAAATGGCCTCAGATCGCACCACCGTAGCATCTAGAATCCCCCAAAAAAATTGTGTGCTGGATCCGCCCTTGTATAAGGTTAGTATGTTTTAAAGAAGAGGGTCCGCGGAACAAATCACCACGGATCTCCGTGAAGTAAGGATCTGGTTAATGGGAGAAAGGAAAGGAGGAGGAAAAGTGGAGGAAACAATCGTACAGAAAGCAACTTTTGGGGCTAGAATTTATTGGGGGAAAAAGTAACGTCCGAGTACGGAATTCTTTCCATAAGGTCTCGACGTTTCGAACAGTATACTGGTCGTATTCAGGAGATTTATAAGTGTCTATAATGAATTACTAATTCAGACCTAAGAGACATAAATGTATTTGATTATTTCCCAACAGCCCGAGCGGCAGGCTGAGAGTATGTTTGCAGCAAGTCAATAGGCCTATATATTCTAGCAATCTCTAGGCTGATTAAATTATTATGGGAACAATGACAAAATGTGCTTAAATATCCATCCACCAAACCCACCCAGTGACCACTTATGTTTCTTTCCCTTCAACGGGACCTGGGCCCAAAGATTCCTGCCCAATTAAACCAGTAAGCCGGTGGTTAACTTGGGACGACTAATTCAGTGACACATTGCCAATGACCCAACAATCAGATGACGGGGATTTATTCAGGTTTATGTATCCAAATGTAATACCACTCCATATATCTGATCCAGCAGTATCCATGCGCCGACGGGAATATGCATACTATATCTGAACATGTATCATAATTGATGTATTAAAAAGGTTGTGCAATGCTCGAAGACATTTCCGTCTTTTTTTTGGTATATGTAGCCTAAGGTGTGATGAAATAAAAACGACTATTGTTTCTGTCATGAAATGAGTACAAAGGTTACTTTTGAGAGCTATTTTTCAGGTCCTGTTTCGACCCGAACGTGCAATTTGTGTAAAAGTTGTCGTTACGGGCAGCAAACAAAACACAGTAAATCGTGACGTAATAAACAGGACTCGTTTATGCTACTCTGCATCGGGAGTCCTGTTTATTACGTCACGATTTACTGTGTTTTGTTTGCTGCCCGCAACGACGACTTTTACACAAATTGCATGTTCGGGTCGAAACAGGCATGACAGGACTTGAAAACCAGCTCCCAAAAGTACCTTTTGTACTCATTTTATGACAGAAACAATAGTCGTTTTTATTTCATCACACCTTAGGCTACATATACCCGAAAAATGACGGAAATGTCTTCGAGCATTCCACAACCTCTTTAAAGTATTGTATAACATCTTGTTGAATGGTTCGGAATACAACTTCTGAAGTTATATTATTTTGGGGTGACATTCAAAGATATTTAGTTTATCCCCTTGCAATGTTGCACTCGATCGAGTCCTCCACAAGTCCATCACAAGTCCTCTCACGAGTAAGTCAGAAGTGCAATAAGTCCAGTCACAAGTAACAGGTGCTCAACAATACTAGAGGAATGCCTTTGTTAAAATTATTTGAATAGCTTATGACTTGCACTGAGACTGGAGGACCTGTGGTGGACTTGTGAGGACTTGTGATGGACTCAATTACACCATGCCTCCCTGTATTCACGCTATCAATCTTAAATAATTTTGATATCTCTTATAGACTGAGAGCTGATAGCAAGTCAATAACAACTGTTATAAGTGCATTGCGACGATTGGAGCCAAAATGTACATGGAGGGGGGTTGCGGCCCCGCCCCCTCCGCGCTCTTCGCACCGCTCTTAGTCGGACAAAAAATTACTCTTAAGTTATACTTTCATGTTCCACAATTGCCAAGGCATCAATAAAAATGGTTTCATTTTCTCATTTTAAATTGTGTAGTACATTTGTATAGTTTCGGTTCGATCTGTTAGTCGGCATTCTCATGCACGCTTTCATGTGCACACACACTTTCCAACAGTTAACATTTAGGCCTACCTGTGTTGGAAAATAGACATTTTGTGACGAAAGTATGCCCTATTTTCATAAACTTGGTGTCAAAATAACCGCAAGACATCAGAACAACTTTCAAAGGACCAATTGTTAAAGGAACTTGGCAGGGTTTTTTTTAAATGCATTGCGACGATTGGAGCCAAAATGTACATGGTGGGGTGTTGAGGCTCTGCCCCTCCGCTCTTTCTCGCCGCTCTTAAGGTATTTCGGCTGACCTAAAATCACTCTTCAGTTTTATTTATTTATCTATTACCTATTTGTTTACCCAGGGTGTGCCCAAACAGTTTAAAACTGGTTTCCATTGGGGCCCTGCATACACTACTAATGATTATACACACATGTGCACATATAATGCATTACAAATACAATACCACACAATGGAATAAAATAAAAGCATACGGGATTTCTGTATGACCATACAAATGACTATACACATGTACAAATACAATACACCGCAATGAAATAAAATAAAAGCATACGAGATTACTGCATGATTGTAAAGCAACTATTATAAATATTGTACAATATTACAAAGAATCATACAGTTTGAAACGACAGGCTAGGAAGATTTAAGTTTACACGGGGAATTTGGACATTTCTAATTGTGACATTTCTAATGTGACATATAAAATGTACATGTGTATTTCTATACATTCGTTGATTACGGGAGGGGCGAAAAACCCGTGAAAAACCCTTTTTATATTCCACAAGTGCCAAGGCATCAATATGAACTGGTTTCATTTTCTCCTCTACCGTAACGTTGCAACAGTACCATCGAAAAAGGAAAAAGAGGGGGTGACGGCCACATTCCCTAGCGCTTGTCGCGCATGTCTTAAGCTAATTAGTCTGATCGGTTTCGTTTTTTGTTCTCAAGATTTTGATTAAATGTAAAATTTGCCTCATTTGGGATGGCGTCTACGAGCCTCGGTCTGATCTAGCGAATCTTAAGACTGGCCATTCTGTGATCAGGGTCGATGGTACTATGCTTTAAGACAATCAGGGGATTTTTTCCCCGAAATTTTGATTAAACACTATCCAGCTTTCAGTCTAAATCCAAAAACGAATTAACAAAAGAAAACAGCAACTTATGGAAAGGAAATGTACATTTATTTTAAATATGTTAATATACAACTTTCATGCACTAGTCTATAAAACACACTTCATCTGGATAATATATTTTTAAATGAATTAATCAAAAAATCTACGGTACTCGATTAGTATCATTTAAAAACTATTTTCTAATTAGAAGCTTGGTTGTATTTATGTGTGTTTTTTGTGAGGGTGTGGATTATTTTGTTGCAGAAAACTTGACTGCGGCATAATAATCCCCCACTTACATCACACGTATCAAATGATATATCTAGCCGAGTAAATTAGTATCGACATTCACATTACATGTTTTTCAACATCACAGTATTCGTTTAAGTGAGAATCGATTAATTGTATATATGGTCGCTGTATACATAATGACACATTGTGACCATCAGAAGAGCAGTGGTTCTGTAGGCCTCGTGCTGACTGATGACATTTCATCACAGGCCACACTTGGAGCGCTTGCTGGGATTTTTCTCTGGGAACACGGGACCTACAAATACAATGTCAAAAAAGAGATGCCAAATGAACCTAAAGATACCATGCCGACTTTGTGGTTGGTCGAAAATATATATGCGATGCAAAAACAGAAGGGTCGGAACTTGTATGAAAGGAGGTGCATGATCAAAACATGAGTAACTTTGGTCTGGTGGCCTATCCAATTGTAATCCACGGTAATATTACCGCGATATGTACCGTGCATACCTACAGGTTGTCCCACAAAAAACCTAATAACAGTCGAATCTGGCATGTTTGCAGAAAAGTGGGGGCAGTATTCAAAATCGTGTCTGATGTATTGTTGAGTAGAATAATTGGTCTTCCGAATGCTTCTTAGTTAGTTTCATAAGGATGTTTTGTTCAAAAGATACAGCAATCACAATATGGGACTTGAAAAAAACACTTGGGCCAAGTTTTTATCTATTAATATAATTTTTCCTGGTCTTTTAAAATAAAAACTTTGTCGAAATGATAAACTGATAAGCTGCACTAATATTTTTGACCCATCCTTTGTGTGTTTCTCTAACTGTGCTTTCACACTTTCACGGAATGTGGCCCAAGACGATTTTCAACCCTTGAGTTCTATGAAGCATAAAGTTCGTTCCAATGCATCGATTTGAATGAACTAAAGTTTGTATGGTAGATTGGTTATCTGATTTCTAAGAGGCAATTTGAATATATTTCAAAACTTACATGCAATATACCTTTATTGATTGGTTTTCGACTGTAAGGACACGCGGTATATAGGTGATGTTTCTAATGTAAAGGAAGGTGGAATATATCTCGGAATCAAAGACGACCTCCGGCAGACTTAATTTATACTGAAAAAAAAAACACCGGCGCGGCCGATTAAAACACCAATAAGTATTGTGGTAAATGTAACACCGCTGTTTTTGAAGTGTGCGAGGCAATCAGAGAAAGCCTCCGTGAAGATGGAAACCGGCTCCGGTGAAACAGCCAAAATAAAAACTATGCTGTTATGTTGTGTGCATTTTTTCTTTCTTCCCAATAGCGTTGCACCTCTGTCTGATTTGAGTCCTGCCAGGTTCATAAGTGTTTTTGTTTGGCTCACGTCGGTTTACACTGATTTCTGAGATAAACCCTGAATTTCTAAAACTGAAAATTCTGTTTCGGATGAATTTTGAAACTGAGTAGCCTAGGACCTGTAGGCCTACTTAAGCACATGATAGGTTCCCCATAATTAACAGAATAGAATAAGAAACGTTGGGGCTCAATGAAATGAAGTTGGGCTTGCTATAGGCCTTTGAATTGAAAGTGAGGTAAAATCTTAATTTTTGTAACTTGCGAAGAGAAATGAAAGCAAGTTAACTCCTAATTAATTCCAGTCTGCTTCAATGAATAATTTTAAATTTGTAATTAAAAATTCCCTAATGTTAAAAGACAGATGAAAAAAAAACCGGTAAGATAAGGCTGCATTGTGCCTGCATAAATAGTCTGGCGCCATCCCATTCAACAGATAACACTTAACGAAATACGTTCAAGGAACTCGACCAAAAAGGGCCAACTCGTGAATAAGGCCCATGGAGAACGGTTTGTTGTCCAAAGGAATGTATGTATCATATTATTGACTAGACTTCGGACAGTCAATCCACCAAATCTTTCTGCTTTCTGATCAACCGACAAATCTCTGAATCGTAGTCCATGATTTTAGCGGTTTCTCTCTTTTTATTGACGAGGACTCCGAACTTAAACTTAACAAGCGATTTCTGGTGGCAAAGTGTTTATTTCGACTCCAACTATCTAAAGACAATTTCAACCAAAATCAACCTTGGGAAATATTTTAATTACTTAAAAATATACAGGCTTCACAAGATGTACAGATATGCAAGCATTTCCGACACAAGTGAAATCATACCCTTTTAATATTTAGGCAAGGATCATTGCAAGTTTTCAACTTAAAAGAATTTAAAATTTACTTGTTTTCGGGGTATTTTTCTTTTAGATTTGGACCTGACTGCGTACCTGGTGTTTGCTTACCTGATGCCTGTTGTCTGCTTGGTCCCGCCATCTCGTCATCCGCTGCGTCCATTCTGTCTGGAGACCGTTTTCTGGACGGAGGGGCCGGTCCCGACCCGGACTTCAAGTCCATGCTCAAATCTCCTAAGTCGACCGTTCCCGCGTCCGCTGCCTGTAATAAGAAGGTATTAAGCGATTCGTAGTTTCCTTATATCTGTGTTTGAGTGTAATTGATATCGGCAGGTAATAAACGACAGACATAATTTTCAAAATAACAACGCATGATATATCGTAAACCAGTGAACATCGATTCCACAATTTCGATTCAAAATTCTCAAAGAGCCACAGAAATTAGACTCTGCGTGTTTTGATTGGTTTTAGCCTCTCCGAAAAGCTTCTGGAGCAGGCCCTCTTTATTATTATTGTCACTCAGCCTGGGAGCCCTTTTCATATATGGCCAACGACACAATTTCAAGTGGCTTATTTTTTCTTAGGAGCTTCACGTTTCAAAAAGGTCTCAGTTTTAATGTGCAGTTTTAATGGCCAACTGTCCTTGCCACTGTGAATGGCGAGGGCTGATGTTACTTATAGCCATTGTCAAGCGGCGCTTTAAGTTTTAACAACAGAACTTTTTCGAAATCGTTTTGCTCACTACCACCGTCATCACAGCCAACGTCTCATGTCATTGTCCATGCCACAAAATGTACCTACTTTGAAAATCCTCCAGCATTTATCCAACGCTTTGTCCATGTGCAGCTTCCTTAGTACATTCTGCAGATCTTCCTTCAGGTCGTCGTACTCGATGCTGTGGTTCGACGGTCCGAGTTGGACCTCCATCTCGAAGGCCCTGTTGTAGTATTCCAGGGCTAGTTTGTAGTTCTCTTGAGATTGGGTTTTGTCTAGGTTGTGTGAGACGAAGATAGTTAGTTTGAACAGAGAGTGCTCGTATGCAGTACATAGTCCGTTTGTACACAAATTCAGCCCGAGAAATTTGTAGCAAGTGCTGCAACAAATGCTCAACAAGTGCTCAAACAAGAGGCGTTGATTAACTAGGAGGATGCTGACAAACTATTATAATCATACAGATTAATAGATTTGTTGACTTACATGAAATGACTTTATTTCATCTTTGTCTGAATCAAGCAACCTTTCGATGACTTGAAGTTAGTACACGTCCACTTACCTTACATGCTGTATTTTGATTGACATGCATGCCAAAAACAACCTAACGTTTCAAATGGTTTTGTTTGGCGTCGCAACAGATTTTCGACACTAAGAAAACGTGTGTCCTCATGATCGACCTTTCGCCTAAGCGGTAAAGCACGAGCCCTTTCAAACGGGTAGCGGTAAACCTAACTACCCATTTCAAACCAAGATCGGTTTCATTGCTCCGATTAAAAATTCAAGTTACCTTCAGGTTTCTTTGATTTCTTGTTTTCGTCCCCTAAACTGTCGTACAGGGATCCAATGAAGAAAAGGTTGCGAGCCGTGGTAGGATGCACGCCTATGATCTCCTCTCTGATATTGCCGGCATCTGTTGCCAACGGTAGAGCTTTCTCGTATTCCTTTTTCAAATGGTGGCGAAAATGTACACGTGTTCGTTTAGATTTTGTTTTAAACTACATGCAAATGATAAAAAGAAGGGTAGATCTCGGCTGCTTAAAAAGCCTTGTTTGAAATTCTTGCCGACGTTGAAATTGATACACTTCTACATGTATATTTAGCTTTGTACGCTGGCATTATATTTGATAGCGGCAAAAACTCCCTGATCCGTTTTCTAATATTGTTATAATGCCTAGAACATCAAACATTTACGTACACGTTCTAATTAAATTGAGAAATAATATTGTGAAATAGGCCTACTGTCTTGTAACTGATCACCCACCTCCATTTCACAGTAGCTCATGGCCATGTTCTTGAGGATGAACGCAGTGTTTGGGGAGTTGGACAGTTTCAAGGCTCTCGCCAGATCGTTTGCCTCATGGTATTTCTTGATGGCAAGGTTAAAGTACTCGTGAGCCTTCTTCTTGTTGCTACATTTGAATTTCTTTCCCATCTGATGAAAAGTGGAGCCGATGTTAAGCAAGTACATGGGTGCGTCGAAGTGCTTCTCCGGTTTGCCGTTGGTAATTTTAACCAGCATCTCCCAGGCTTTCAAATGGTACTCGTGGGCTTCTGTCGCGCCGATACAGAGGCAGTCATCATCTGCCTTGTTGAAGTAAGCATGACCCAGCCCATTCAGGCAGCGAGCCGTGAGCGAGTGATTCCCAAGGAGACGCTCTTGAATTGTCAAGGCTTGCTCAAGGACAGCAATACCGTCTTTGTACTTGCGTCGGGCCACCATGATGCGGCCCTTCACGTATAGCAGCTGAGCTTCAGCTGTCTCTAGGTCATTTGTTCGGCCGATGGTGGGGTCGCTGGCTCGAGCTTTCAACACTTTCAGCGGTTCTTCGACCGCTTTCCAGGCTTCATCGTATTTTGCTCTCACGTAGAGCTCATCGGCCATCCATCCTTGCAAGTAAGCCCAGGCTTCTCGCTCCCCGCTGCTCAACATTCTGATACTCATATTTTCGTAATATTCCAACCTTTTAGTGGGATCAAGAAAAGTCTCGAAAATGTTGAACAATCCATCCCTCATGTCCGGAAGTGGAACGTCAGAGGCGGTGTTCTCCTGTTCGGCATTAACCTGACAACCAAACTTGTGGCCCATCCCCAGCTCCAAATAGTGCAAGATGTTGGTCTTGTTGGATTCAAATCTGGCCTGAGTGCTGGCGAAATCCCTGTGACCCAACCGTGTTAAGTCTTTAAGAAGGTCGGCTATGTAGGCTAAGAATCGACGGAGCGCGTCTTCATATGCTTCCTTGTATATCCCACTGTATCCTATTCTGCTCAGGCAAACTGACCGCACCAGTGGATGCATGAAGTAGTAAGGCTCGTCATATTCATCCCGTTCTAGAAAACTCAATCTTTTCAATTTTTCCAAGTTTTTGCTAATTGCGTCTGGTGGTTCCTTTCCTAAGATCTTAGCTCCTTGACTCAGACTGAAGGAACTTTGGAAGACCGACAATTTCAGCAAAGATTCCTGCAGAGGTAGAGGGAGCTGGTTGTAGATGGCGCCTAGCGAGTTAAGTACCAGTGGCTGATCTTCGAAATCCTTCCTCTTGTCTTGAACGGCTTGACTAACTCCTAAGGAACCGGAATCCAACACTCGCTGAGCGCCTTCTGGACACTTCATGAGCTCAACTAGACTTCTAGGGCTGAACCCTCTCCTCAGGTGGCTTGCCACGGCGTGCAGGGCCTTGGGGTTATTATCACACCGATTGGCGATTTCAGCCAGAGATTTTTCGTCCTTTAACGCCTCTGCTCCGACCGAGACCGTCCCAGAAAACCCCTTAGCATGATTAATTATCTTCTTAAGAAGCTCCAAGGATTCGCGGACCTGCAGTGACTCCAGTTTGACCTCCATGAAATTTGGAAGTTTCCTAAGACCCATGAAATCAACAGGATAACGAGAAGTTAAGAGGAACTTCACATGCTTGTTGGATATCGATAAGAGGTCGGTAAAGGTCTTAACAAAGCGATTTTTACTACGTGATGACGGATCAAGGATGTCATCAGCATTGTCCAACAGTAGTACTGTATCTAGAGCGAGACAACAAAAACATGAAACATTGAACAAATAAAAAGAGAAAGCCAAGTACAAGGTTTACAGTCGAACCCTGATAAGAAGAGCACTGTTAATACAACATCTTGCTTATAACAGGGAAAATGTTAGGCCCAAGTCTTTGTCTTTGTTTTTTTTCCCTTAGTTTTCCATTACTGATAATACAAGGTACCTGTTATAACAATGTAGTATGTAAAGTCCCAAGGACCTTGTTTTTTAGGTTAAAGACTTTATACAAGTGTTCAATTGCAAAGCAGGCTTGTTGTTCTTGCTGTGCTTGCTCCAGTGTCTAAGTAGGCCTACCATGGATGCAGTCCATGATCCACTTGTTGACCATTGTCATCTTGAACTCTTTCGGGTCGATCTGCTTGCCAGTCGCGGTTTTTAAAATCCAAAGCCCAACTTCTTCCATTTTGGTCGCCTTATGGAGATTGACTGGGTGAACTCTATGAATCATGAAAACATGAAATCAACTGAGAAATTTCAGTTTCATCTGGCTGGGTAAGTTGCCGTCCTTCTTTGGGACAGGAAACGGCTTTTACATAGGTAATTGTATCGAAGACCTCGCAACAAACTTAAACAAGTTTGATGGCGCAAGGAAATGATACACATTGTGCTTTCAACAACAACAATATTGGCGAGTTTGCCGTTTCGTAAGTTATCAGATAAAAACAATATTTTATCTAAATATGACTCACAAGTCCATTCACTTTTAATTGCCTTCCCTCCCCCGTCTCAGCTTTACATACTACAACCACACCATTGGTACATATGAAGTTTCAGAGGGCAAAGTGCCGGAGAAGGTTTAGCGCACTGGGCGGCACTTTTATCCGCCCCGTCTCCCGCACGCCGAGCTACCCATAAACTGACCTGGTACCGCACCGTGCCTGCTCTTTGTAGATCTTGCAGCTTAGACTTGCCAGTTTAGTCTTGCCAGAGCCTGCCAGCCCGTACACAAGCACGCAGCGGCATTTGTTGTGTCCTCGGTCGGCGAAGACTTTAAGGATCCTGCTGACGAATGTGGTCCGTCCAACAAAAAGGGGATCCTGCTTCCGAAGTAAGATCTCCACTTTCTGCAGGTATTTTCCCCTCATTTCCTCGTACTCTTTAACCTAGGGCAATCAAGAAAAGGTAGTAAAAAATTATATCTCTTTTCCTCCAACGAATTTTGAGAAATAAACGGCGCTCAGTTTTGAAATACCGTTGACTAAGTCGAGAATTAAACGAAAAGTGACTGTAGGTTTAGTAAAAAGGGGCATTTTTTTATTCTCGGGGAAAAATACATCATACACGCAGCCTCGCTTTGTCTTTACAGAATCAACTTTTGATATTTCAGTTTATCGATTTCAACATGAAATCTCCATATAAAATATTAATGTTGAAGTTTTTAAATGGGTTAAATTACTTGCAATGCAAACTGGAAATGGGTTTCCTAACTTTCTTACAAAATCAATCCCTGCCGAGCAATCCGATATTTCCAACAGTTTCTTCAAAAACACCGTCTTATACTCTCCTATTAAATTGTGCTTCTCAAGGACCCTGAAACAGAAATCAAAACGATTGAGTACCTCAAACAAATTAGCACAATCGCAATGAAGGAAATGTAAATATTAGGTTTTGCCCTCCATTGGCATAATTTTATAAGCACAGTAAAATCAGGGCTGTCAATGGTGCCAACGATAAAATTGAAAGAGCCAGCTTGCTCAGAAATACATTTAAGTGACAGGCAACACAATTGAGACGTCTTGGGACAAAATACAATAACTTCCCGAAGTTCCCGTCGCAAGGTTCCATGATACTGGCAAGATTTTTTTTTTACAAAGAATTGAATGATGTGGAGTTTATTTTGAAAGACTATACCATGCCTTTCTCTATCACCAACAATGTTCCACAGTTTCCCAAAGTCCATTCAGTTTTAAAACCCAACAGATGTTCTGCATTAGAACCATTAATAGTCAAATCTCAGCCGTGAGTTTGTGCACGTGGTTCTGAAAAGAACCGGTTTGATGACTCAACGTTTCTGGCAGCATGCTCTGCGTCTTCAGGCAATATAATGGATTCAACTGAAACCCACCTCAACAGTTCCACCGCGTCATCGGTCTCAAGTTCCTCGGCGGGTACCCCTTGATGGCTACACAAGAGACGGATTTGTTGGCGTTCGTGCTTCATCAGCTCCTTGGCTAGTTTGCTGAGGAGCTCGGAGAATGGATTGATAGTCCGCTGGTCCGTGATGTCCAGTGGCTGCTCGCCCACGGCCGCTGCACCTGTCATCTGGACTGTGGTTGCATCTGATGATGAGCCGGCCATCACATTGCTGTCTCGTGAAACCCCAGTGAGCTTGGTATGTCTTTATGGGTTGTAAATGCGGGGATTCTGGGGAAGATAGCCAAAGATCCAAATCAAAAGTGTCATAAAGTTATGAGTAATTTCTGCTATAACCTACTGATGTGTGATGATATCGTGTTTATAGGACTGTTTCAATTATGACCTTCAACCATACCGTTAGCTATAGGGTGGTACGTTGTTGTTCGTGTGCGTCTGGTACCCAGGAGCTAGAGTCATCAATGCATCGAACAGTGCCAACTGAAACTGTCGCCCACGGTCTGTGGTTATCGTCAGTCGACAGAGCACCAAAGATTGAGACCCATCTGTTCACAAAGGCCTTTTTAATTGGCGACTGTTTTAGCGGTGCAGTCAGGTATGGGTATTACTGTCTTGACACAGGCCTTGGGTGACCCGTGCTCTGACGCCTGAGTTCATGCGTGGCCAGGCGTAGTAGTGATTACTAACCAGTTTCAGTAGTGCCCGACTACTTGGATGAGATCGATTGTGCAGGGAATCGGAAACACTCTGTCGGTGCTTCTCGGGCACCAAAAGGGCGTTCATGACCAGTCGACAAGTCGCACCAGATGGATGTACTTGGAGCGGAACTTGCTTGAGGTCAAGAGAGTGGGGGATTATCTGTGGCCATCAGCTCAAAGTCCATCTGCGTCGGTGTTTTCAAGGCATTGATATGAGATTGGGAAAGTGCATCCGCTATACGACATACGTTGTGCCCTTGATATGTATGTCGGATGTAAACCGAGACACATAGTCAAGAGGGTGCACTTCTCTGGATAGATTGCCGGTCTGGTTTGGGGTTGATAGCGTACACCAATGGACTGCGATCAGTGTGAATGCAGAAGTCTGTAAATGACCGAAAATGCATAAATGTTTATTCTAAACCCATGCAGGCCTACATGCATTGCGAAAACCTGTCTAAATGCACAATGTATCTGTTGACAAAATTTCATTTAAATGTAATGCTTTGTTATAAGTCTGCTGTAAAGGTTTTTTTCACATTAATTGGGAATTCTATATTTTCATTTTCATTTTCAAGAACATTTATTTCCATCTTTTCACAACATTTCATTATAATACAAAATAATGAAAAATTATACTGATGGAGGCATGCTAAAAAAAGCCGAAGCTTATATCATATAACATGCCTGTACACATACATAACAACTCACACGATACGCGAACGTTTAGAATAAAAAAAGAAGCACAAACAAACAATTAGAAAAAAGGACAAACAAATGTGACAAACATTACAAAAGTGCAATAATAATAACGGAAGCGTATAGAACAATAGAGGAGCAGCGGCAGAGATGACAAGATAAACTAGAGTTTGAGGACAAACACACGGTGTTGGGCTAGAGGTTTTGCTTTTTGCGTTGTTGATTATTGTTGTTGGTTGTTGATGTTGATGTTGATTGTTGATTGTTGATGTTGATCGTTGATTATAGTTGATGGTAGTTGTTCATATTGATGTTGATTGTTTTTTGTTGATAAATGATTGTTGATATTGATTAACAATTATTGATGTCGATTGTTGTTTGTTGATAATTGATTGTTGATATTGATTAACAATTATTGATGTAGATTGTTGATGATTGTTGATGTTGATTGTTGATTGTTGATGTTGATGTTTTTTGTTAATGATTGTTGTTAATTGTTGATGGTGATTGTTGATGTTGATTACTGATGTTGGTTATTGATGTTGAATGTCAGATTGTTGATGTTAATTGTTGATGTTGATTGTTGATGTTGATTGTTGATGTTGATTGTTGATTGTTAATGTTGATGTTAATGTTGATGTTGATTGTTGATGTTGATTGTTGATGTAGGTGTTGCTGTTGATGTTAATTGTTGATGTTGATTGTTGATGTTGATTGTTGATTTTTGATGTTGATTGTTGATGATAATGTTGATTGTTGATTGTTGATTGTTGATGTTAATGTTGATTTTTGATGTTTATTGTTGATGTTGCTGTTCATTGTTGATGTTGATTGTTATGTTGATGTTGAGGGTTGAGGGTTGAAAAATAGCGCGTGGAGTAATTGTACAAAGGATAGTTAAAAAGAGTCAGGTGAGGATCTACACGCGCGTATGCTGCTGTACTGTAAATTTATCAAGTACAATTGTTACAAAAACCCATTAAATAGCTCATATCTCTAAAAGTAAAGGTTGCACACCATTGGCGCAATACAAAATATTGCTCGCCATACCCTCTTTACCCCAATGTGCAAGTTTTTAGAAAAAAGCGCCGAATTAAAAAAAGCGCCCAGTTGGGCGCTTTTGCGAGCCCAATTTTTGAGCATCATATGACGGGAAGTTCCCTTTTACGCAATCGCAGCGCACTGTTTTTCGGGATTTTCCCTTTGTACGCAATTATCCCCATTTGCTGTACACACAATGCACGTGGCATTAAATGAGCGTTTCAATGCGTAGGCGTGTTCAACTTCAAACTTCAAGGGGGCTGCAGGGCATCTTCTGGGAAATTTATTGTAACGAAACCATAGGCAGTTTTAGACCTATTATTGAAGTGCCATTTAAAGCACAGAACTGGATTATATCCCTGACGGTTGATTTTTTAGCAATTTTCAAAGGAAAAGAGGTCTTTCCATTGTAACTTCCGGTCTGATGACGTAATCATTTTATTTTCGCGCACAGGTCTTGTCTGCATTAAGGTCATTATGTATATAAATTTTGAAGCGATTACCGCAAATTTCGCCACAGACATCAACTGAAAATGCGTTTTGGACATTTTTTAACCTGCCGCTAGAGGGCGCTCGAACACTTGATGGCGTCACCGATCATTTTTTTGGAGAGATCAACCCACCCACAGGCTAACATCGTTAAAAGCAAGTTCATATCTTTTTCCACTTTTGAATTATTAGGCACTTCCGGTTTCGACCGGAAGGAAGGGTCATGTGATTTTACGCGCACAAGATAAATTGAAGAACATGTATTATCATGTCGATTCCCTGAAAATTCAAGTTCCGGCCTCTCACGGTTGATTTTATATTGAATTTCAAAGATTAAATTGATTATTTTTTGAAGTGACGTCACGTGACCCATGATGACGTCATAATGACGTAATTGCAAAAAAGCACATCTTCAGTGGATTGTGCATTCATGTATTGACAATTAAAGTTCATATTACTTTTCATGTTGACAAACAGTTCCGGAGAAGAAATGTGTCTTGAAGAATAAAAAAAAAAATAAAAACTAGAGTTTGAGGGAACAAACACACGGTGTTGGGCTAGCCTGGGGTTTGGCTTTTTCGCATTGTTGATTGTTGGTTGTTGTTGTTGTTGTTGATGTCCATTGTTGATGGTTGATGTTGATGTTGATTGTTGATTGAAATTGACGGTGGTTGTTCATGTCGATTGTTGATTGTTGATAATTGATTGGTGTTGTTGATTAACGATTATCGATGTTGATTGTTGATGATTGTTGATGTTGATTGCTATAATATTGATTATTGATGTTGGTTATTGATGTTCATTGTTGATGATGCTTGTTGATGTGAATTGTTGATTGTTGATTGTTGGTGTTGTGATTTTGATTGTTTATTGTTGATGTTTGATTGTTGATTGTTGATGTTGATGTTGTTGTAGATTGTTGCTTGTTGACAGTTGATTGTTGATGTTGATGTTGATGTTGATTTTTGCTGATGATTGTTAATGTTAATTGTTGATTGATGATTGTAAATGTTGCTTGTTGATTTTTGATTAGTTGATGGTGATCGTTGATGTTGATTGTTGATGTTGATGTTGATGTTGATGTTGATGTTGATGTTGATGTTGATATTGATGTTGTTGTCTGTTGCATTTTTTGTTTGTTTACTAGCACCAGGGTTGTGTATTTATTTTGTAGTTTATTGCCGTCTGCATGGGACCGCTGTGAGTTCTCCTGTTTTTCATATTTAAATCACTGTGATTTAAATACCTTATGTTGATATTTTAATACCATTTGGTGTTAAGAAATTTGGTCTTGAAATGTTATATTGCGGGTTCCATTTTGTTTAGAATTGTAATGTTTTGATGGTCGGATAATTTTGTTACTTTTGTATATAACGCGCGTTGAGCGTTTAGCTTGGTAGGCGGATGTTGGCGCTATATATACCCTTTATTATACGTAACTATGAACACACTTTTTAAAGACATTTTGCAAGACATAATGATTTGATCATAATGTGAATGTCTAAGTAGCAACTAGGGTCAGGAAGTAAATTGCAGTGATATGAGTTCTGTACATCCCTCGCAGATAGCTAGTTGGGCTGAATCATGGGCTAAATCTCAAAATGTTGAAAATGTGATTAGCGCCCTCTTTGTAAAATAATCACATGTAGTGAGCGGCATGCAATTTTTTTTTCTCCCAAACGACATCCGCATAGGCCTATGGGTGTAGATTTAAAAAAAAAAAAACATAAGAAAATATAAAATTGGGTGAAAAAAATGATTTTGGAATGTTATGAAATTTGGAATTTAGTTGCTTAAAAAAAAAAAAAATCCTCCGAAGCCTCAGGTTAGAAAACAACACTTAAGGTGTATTACCAAGATTCGAACCCGCAACCTCGCGGTGCAAAATCACGATTGCGTATCGATTGAGCTACCGCACTCCACATATAAATATGTGGAAAATAAGAATCATTATACCTGCGTTCGGAGCGGCGTGCGTACACGTACTGTGCGCGCGCATATCTGACCTGTCTGGTGTCGGCCGCATGGGGAGCTTTGTGATGACGGCGACGGAGCGGAGATCGGACTATGTACATTTAGTGCAAGCATGGGTACGTATATGCATACTCAACCATGTCAACGAAGAAAACTCGTTAAAATTCGTTGGTTTGATGGATGAGTTTTACATTGAACGTCATTTAATTTCATTTTAAAATAGTTCAACTTACCAATATGATTAGTTTGTAAGAGTTGGCTGGCACATTTAGGACTACTTTAGAACTTAAATCACAAGGGAACGTGTTTTGGATAGCACGAGTACATAATCATGATATTGATATTGCATGTTGGCCTAGGCCCTATCAATCATGCCTAGTATTGCATGTATTGTAATTTGTTTGATGTCACTAATTACAAGTATCCGGTTTGTTAGTGTGACGTCACCTCCAGCACTTTCTGCACGATTGGAACCGGAAGTTAACGCAGCTCGAGTGTTTGTAGCCAATGGGCGCTAGTAATCAGTGGTGCGCGCGCGTGTATGACGTTTTTACTAACGAACCGGATGGGCGATCGGGTGTATCTAGCCATGGGACCTTGTTCCAAGGGAACAAAATCACCTTTGAAATTATTGAACCGATTGCAAAAATGTTACAACCTGACGCCACTTCTGCAATTGTGTACAAAGTCTTACTTTTTGAGAGTTAAGAAAATTTTAGAAGGCCTAGGCCTATTTTTTCCTACAAATTCATGTCTATCAATATCATTTTTGCAACGAATGACCTTCATTGATATGTTATACGAAGAAAAAAGTGGTGTCAGATTGCAACATTTATTCCGACCAATCAAAGTCGTCGGCAACTTTAGGAATAAACTGGTACTACTAGTGGTAGGCCTATGTCAATGTGTCATGATAGATAAGATAGAGCAGGGTGACGTTTTGTTTTTTTGAGGGAATTTTGGGGGTAGAATGACGATGATAGCGCAGCGACAACCCGCAATCAAAAAATAAAGATGGCGATCACCATGTGATATACTGTATGAGCATGCAAGGCGTGCTGAATTGGAAGGAACTAACTGGCAGCAAACTGCGCAGGAAAATTGTGATTTCTACCCCAAGGACTGTTCAAAATTACAAAAAGGGTGTCATTAGAATTGAGAGAAGGCTGCTCTTGATTGGAAAGGTCATTTTTTGAGCAATAAAAATAAATTATATTGTCATGTACATGTATTGTTCAGCATGTTCAATCATAAGGCCTGTGCTGGGCACCATCAAACTAGTCTAAAAGACTAATTAAAATTGAATTGTAATCTTTTAATTATATAGATACTTAAAGATTGATCAGTTGATTTGATTGTGTAGCCTACCATTTGTTCTGTTTGATGAATTGATTTAGGTTGAATTAGACCTGTCCTTATCAAGATTTGATTTGTTTCCAACTAAACGGGCCAAATTGTAATGTGTGTAACCAAAATTCTCCTTTGGTTATCTTTTATACCTAAGTTACTTTTTTGTTGGCTTTATTGTGGTTAGAGTCAATATGTTTCGGGTCGTGCAACTCCGTGCAGTTAAAATCTTATCAAAATTATGGGGGTAGTTTCTGGTTACCCTGCCCTATTTTAACAGACTGTACCCTTATTGGGTTTTTTTTGGGGGGGGAGGGGAGGAAAACAAAGCAAAAGCCATTACATTGTAAGTACTACCTTTTACCCTTGACTACATGCAAGGATCCATTATGATAAACAAATTTAAAAAATTGCCCAAATAGAAAATTTGCCTAACTACATGTACTTAGCCTATTTTCAATAATCATGTTATCAGAAGCAGAATATTTTTTTAGAGGGGGGGGGGGCGGCCGGTAATGGTATAGCAGTTCTATTTTAATCAGATCCCATACTCGCATTAGAATGAAAAGACATTTTGTGCTTTCGGAATTAATAGTGAAATATTTTGCAGGAAAAGTTGCCTAATGTGTTTGGAATGTTCTGAATAGTTTTGTATCACTATCAGGTAGTGTAATTTAGAAAGAATTTTGGTAGTTCATGGCACTTTTCTCTTCATGTACATGTATAATCTCAATAAAGGTTAGTCATTGCAGAAATGTTTAAAAGACATGAATCTGTGACTGAGAAGCATTTCCAATTCCAATTTTGTTATGAAGTACCTTCTTAAAAATATAACTGAGTCTTGATAGAGTAAGTACACAACTGCCGATGTGTGTGAATAGCATATGTACATTCCTTCTGTTATTTTGGAAGAAGATGGCAGGGTTTGGATTTATTAACGGAGTTTTTGAGAAAAAAAAAGGTCTCCAGAAGTACATGTACATGATTATGCATGTGTCGTTGTCTTGTATTGCAGAAGGAACTGAAATCATTGTGTAATTCTCTGTACTGATGATGTCACACTTCGTTTACATGTGTGCTTCTTATGGGAGCATGGACAGTGGTTGCATAGCTGCATCAGGAAAAGCGCACGTCAACAAAGTGTGACATGATCAGTACGGAGGCTTATTGTATAGCTGAAGTTAAAGGAACTGATTTGATAATGAAATAAAGAGTTGTAGTTTGAGTTTGTTTTACAAAATGATTCTTATTTTTTACTGTGGGGGCTGGGGGTGGGAAGCATTGCATACTCTCCCTCAAGATGTTGTCTGATGGTAAATCTTGTAATTGGCCATTCATATTTGATTATGTTGTTTCAATGAGATGTATGAAGTATTGTCAATGAGAGAAGTAAACATTTTGGCCAAGGGATGTTTAAAAAATTGATATTTAGTGAGAAATGTATGTTTGATTGATAAAATACCTGGCAAATTAGAAGAAAAGTTTTGAAGGCTCTGCACAATTAAAAAAAAACCTGTTAGAATGTCAAAGAAAAGCTGTCTGCAGCTGTTTTGGGGTTCGATGGGATGTTGCAAAAAAATAGTGTTGTTTTTCTGTATTTGTGACTTTCCCCCCCTTTTTTTATATGTGTTCACAGATGGCATCTTCAGAAGTCTCTTCCCCATGGATCGAAAGGAACTAAATCCTGGTGAAAACCAGGTGCCTGGCAGGAGCCTTGTACTTGTGAACCATAACAATAACCATAACGATAACAATAACCATAACTATGAGCCTGAGAACCATGAGCATGAGAACCATGAGCATGAGAACCATGAACATGAGAACCATGGACATGAGAACCATGGACATGAGAAACATGAACTTGAGAACCATGAACTTGAGAACCATGATCTTGAGAACCATGAACTTGAGAACCATGGACTTAAGAACCTTGAACTTGAGAACCATGGACTTGAGAACCATGAACTTGAGAACCATGAACTTGAGAACCATGAACCTGAGAAGCATGAACCTCAGAACCATGACTTTGAGAACTATGAACTTGAGAACCATGAACTTGAGAACCATGAACATGAGAACCATGAACCTGAGAAGCATGAACCTCAGAACCATGACTTTGAGAACTATGAACTTGAGAACCATGAACTTGAGAACCATGAACTTGAGAACAAATGCTTGGATGAGTCAGGTTCTGGGATGAGGCAGGTTTTGAGAACAAACCAAGAACAAAACTTGAGAACAAACAATGAACAAAACTTGAGAGAAAATCAACTTGAGGAAAATAGATGCGACAAAACATTGAGCATAAAAGCAAAGCAGAGAAAATGCTGTGATGAAACTGAGGTGATGAAATGTTATTATTTACAGATTGTGAAACCTAAGAAGATACTCTTGAAGAAAGCACAGAAAGAACATGACAGAAAGATGCGACAGGATAGACGGGAAAGAGTGAGTATTCTGAGAGAGGGCAGGAAGAAGCGATTAGCAAGAGTCAGTAATGTGAAAGGTTTGCTATGGCTTAAGCAGTACAGTTGGACAAAGCACTGTGGTAGTGGTCGTCTCTTGGATTATGTAGAAGAGATTTGGGAAGGAAATGGTAGAAAGAGGCCATCAAGACAGCACAAGAGAAAAGTGAGGAAACAAGCGTTGAAGCAGACTCATAACATCAGGAAAGGAGGGAAGGTAGTAGAGTGTCGCAAGAGCAAAGAGGATAGAAGGTTGCATGAGAAATGGCAAAAAAATATCTGGTGTCGTACACAAAGAAGTTTGAGTACAGTTTTGAAGAACATCAACGGCTTGCAGGACAAGAGAAATAAAAATGCAGAGATCATGGTGCCTGTACACAAGAAGGTGGGATGTAAAAGACAAGTGTTGGAAAATCATTCGATGAGACAAAGCAATGAAAATGAAACGAGAAACAGACAGTCTGAAAGAGGGAGAGCAAACATGGTAGAAATGAAATGTGATGCCACTGATAATTGGGAGTGTTGGATGTGTGATAAAGTGATCAACAGATTTCAACCTAAAGCACAGTGTAGCTGTGGATTGTGGTATCATGTTGATTGCATGGGATTTACAAATATTACTACAAATGATGTCTTGGCAAACAAATCAGTTATATGGGTATGCTACAAATGCCATGGAAGTAACTACTGTAAATCTTTACATGATTATCTTGACATTCCTGTAGATTTAACCATGTATGAGCAAACATTGATGGATGGCTTGGGAGAAGACGTGATGAAACAGTCTGCTGAGGAGAATTCTGACAAACAAGAGAGTACTGAAGGTAACACAGTCGGGATTCATGATTGTACACGTGTTGACAAAGTTGCAAAAGAAATGATGGAATGTAGACGAAGAACTAAGAGAAAATACTTAAGTCTAAATACAAGGAAGCAAAAGGAAAGTGGACTTGAAAATCATGAAGAATATAGCACTATAAAACTCTCATTGATTAAGCAATCTGGAGGTTATTCATTAAGAGAAAGAAAGAAAAAATCAGATGTAGCAGCTAAGGTAAATGAGAGACAGTCAAAAATCGGGAGAACAGTGAGTGAAACTAAGAGTACAAAGCAAAGAGACAGTCCAGTTGTTAAAGAGGTTTCATATGAACTAAGAAAGAGAAAACGAACTGCAAGTGTTGATGTTCAGTGTGATGATAACAGGTGCCCAGACATGACAGATAAAAGTGGACATTCATTACGTAGTAAGAAGAGGTCATTGGCACCAGTGGTTAAAAAGAATAAACCAGCAGTTGACAATAATTCAATAATTGATGATGATAAACAAATAAGTGGCAAAAGTACGGCTTGCTCAAAGAAAATTTTCGAACAATGCTCCCAAAATGAAATGCAATCAAAAGTATGCAGTGGAACAAAGACTTCAGTCCATGTCATTATTCAGGGAAACTTTCATCAAGGTAATCGGAAATTTGGTGTTAATATGGGAAAGCAGTGTGTTGCAAATAGCTTGTGCTCAATGATGTATAGTCATGTGAAGGAATTGAGACACTGGACATGTCATGATATGGATTTAGTGCTGAATACTGGCAATGAGTTGTATGGTCATTTATCACATAGTTCAACAATGCACAATGATTACTTGTTGATCAATGAATTGCCTAATGAATTGGATGTATTTAATCAACATTTCACAATGAATTATCACGAGTCTGTGTGTGGTACTTTTGGAGATGAATGCAGTTTATCTGAATTTAATATGATGCCGATGAACCGTGCACTTGAGCAGACACTGCAGAGATACAATGGCTGTTTCATATGTTTTAAAGGAAATACATTTGCCGTTGTTGCTCAAAATGGAATGTACTATATTTTTGATTCCCACTCCAGAGATCATAATGGTTTGCAAGCAAGTGAAGGAAGCAGTTTGATGAAAAGTGCAGCAACATGGGAAGATGTTTACAGGTATTGTACAGATTTGGGTCAATCTATGAATGTAACTAATGATGAACAATTTGAAATCACTGGTGCGAGTGTGTTGAAACATCAAGGTGCTGGTATGTGTTCACATGAAGAGACTGATTGTGATAAAGACAGGTTGACATGTGGCATTGATAATGAGACTAGTCATGAGTCGAACAAAGGTAATGTGACGGCAGAGATGTCAAAACAAGTAGGGGAAAAGGAAAAGTATGTAAATAATTCAGAAAGACTTCTCAGAGGGAGCTACAACACTAATGGTACAAATGATGACAATGACATTGAAATGAATGTCATATCTGAACCAAGTGAATTTCATTTTGTGCCATTATCATATGATGACAAGAAATTACTGTGTAATAAATTTGGAATCACAATTGTTAATTTACAGTCAGATGAAGTAACTGAAGTAAGTGATAAGATCGGAAGACCAGATTGTATCAGAAATATTAAAGGAGATGGTAATTGTTTTTTCAGGGGGATAAGTTTTGCAATTTCAGGGACAGAAGCTAATCACATGCGTTTGAGAATGGCAACTGTAAATCATTTACTGAAACATGCTAGTCAGTACAAGGGTGTGTTACGTGAAGGATTCACTGATGTAGAGGAATATGTGCATAGGGCAAGAATGTTCTGTTCAGGGAGATGGGCAACTGAAGTTGAGATCATGGCTGCAGGACACATGCTTGAGACTGATATTTATACATTTGGTGACAGATGGTATTTATTCTCTGGCAAAAGTGCTGAAGTTGGAGTTGAGACATCAGATACTGGAATCTATCTCAATCATACTTGTCAAATACATTATGATGTTGTATTGTCAGTACATGAACCAGAGCAGATAAACACTGCAGAAGAAGTTGAAGTTAAAAGTGAAATTGAAGCAGAGGTTGGTGTACCAAATGAGTTCATGGATAATCATAGTGTACCGGTACATGAAATGCAAGTACCTATTGATAATAACGTGGTGTGTGATGATCATAATATTGAGAATGAAATTAATGAAGCCAAACCAGAATTAACCAAACCTGTAAATGTATCAAAGGGAAAGAGGCGCAAAGCAAGTAAAAATCTGCAATTAAAAAGAAAATTGGATAGGGAAAGAAAGAGAAAGAAATATGAAGAACATCTCAGCAAAAAAAATATGGGAAAAATTGAAAGGACCCAGGATAGATTGTATAGTGAAATCAAATATCCTATTGATGAAGATTATCAAAACAAGCATATTGAATCTGTAAAAATTAGATATGAAAATAATGTGAATTGCATTAAGTGTAACCAAAGGAATAAGTATGATGTACGTGATAAATGTAAATTAAGAAAGACTATTAAGACAAGAAGATGTAACCAAACCAATGCACATTTTAAACAAAAGTATCATGAATGTCCTGATTTCAGGAATGACATTTTGAAGGCAAGAAAATTGACTTACCATGAAAATCTGCAATATAGAGAGAAAAAGAAAGAAGCCAAAAAAGTAAAATATCACCATGATCCAATTCACAGAAAAAAATGGATTGATACTATTAAAATTAAATATAGTCAGGATGCAGTTTACAGGAAGAAATTGATTGATACTGGTAAAGTGAAATACAGTCAGGATACACTTTACAGGGAGAAATTGATTGATACTGGTAAAATGAAGTATAGGCAAGATGCAGTTCACAGGAAGAAGTTGATTGATAATAGTAAAATGAAATATAGTCAGGATGCAGTTTACAGGAGAATGTTGATTGATAATAGTAAAATGAAATATAGTCAAGATCCAATGCACAGGAAGAAATTACTTGACAGTAGTAAGATGAAATATAGGCAAGATCCAATGCACAGAAAGAAATTGCTGCATACGTGTAGCATAAAATATCATGAAGATCCTAAGCGTAAAAAGAACATTCTGGAAAGGAAGAGGGAAAGAATATTAATTTGTAAGGAGAGAAAAAAAAACATACATAATGTAATTTGTGATTTCAAGATTAAGATGAAAAATGGACCTGATTGTGTTTGCGCTGTGTGTCATAAATTGTTGTTTCAGAACCAAGTAGTGAAATGTAAGAAGGATGCATACAAGTATTCTCACAATATATCGGAAAATTATGTACATACATGTAATAAGAATTGCAAATTGGATTGTTGTATTGCTAGATCAAACAGATCCTGCTTGTGGATATGTCATACTTGCCATAGAAAGTTGATTACAAATACAGTCCCAGCAGAAGCCAATGTGAATAATTTGTCATTACTGGACATTCCAGAGGAACTGGCAAAACTTAACAGCTTAGAGCAACATCTGATAGCCAGAAATATTGCATTTATGAAAATTATCAATCTACCAAAAGGTGGTCAGAAGGGATGTTTTGGACCATGTGTATGTGTTCCATCAAATACCACAGAAACAATCCAGTCATTGCCAAGAACTGCAAATGAGAATGATATGATACGAATCAAATTGAAGCGTAAACTGTCATATAAAGGCCACGTGGAATATCAGTTTGTCAACAAGCAGTATGTTGAAGAAGCTTTGCATTATCTGAAAGACAATAATAAATGGTATGATGATATTGAAATTGAATACGATTGGATTAATCCTGTACCTGAACAATCAGTGCATGAAGAAAATGGAAATGATGATGAAACAAGGAATCAGGATGATCAGACTACTGACATAGAGGAAGAGGATGATGATGACCGATTGTGTGGAATCAAGCTTGATACATGTCTTCAACCTGCTAATATTGGACAAGAAATTCTCGATCAGTACTTTGATGATATATTTTGTGTTGCACCATGTGAGGGAAATAATCCGGTGAGAATCATGATGGAAAAAGGAAATGAGGCCAAGTGCTTTCCAACATTGTTTCCAAGTGGTGGTCCAATATTTAGTGATCAGAGGGAAGTCAGATTAACACTGTGCAGATATCTGCTTAACAGATTATTGAATGTTGACAACAGATTTGCTAAAAACACAGATTATATATTTTATGCACAGTATTTGTCTGAAATTCAGCAAGTTATGTCATGTGTATCTATTGCTTTGCGTAAGGGATCAATGAAGACTCACGAAGGTCATGATATCACTGCTTCAATGCTTAATGACAAGGCAAACTTGAATAAGATGTTAAAATCTGACAGTGGTTATAAATTCCTGAAACCAATTAGAGGTACTCCACCATATTGGCAATCAGCTCACAGAGATGTATTAGCTATGATTACACAACTTGGATTACCTACATGGTTTTGTTCATTCTCTGCTGCAGACATGAGATGGCCTGAAGTAATTAATATGATACTCAGACAACAGGGAGATGGTAGAACTGTAGATGAATTAGATTGGAATGGCAAGTGCCAAATACTGAGAAGTAATCCAGTGACTGCTGCAAGAATATTTGATAGAAAGTTTCATATGTTTTTGAAGCAGGTCATTATGTCAAAGGCACACCCCATTGGTGAAGTGAAAGATTACTTTTATAGAATCGAGTTTCAGCAGAGGGGATCACCACATGTACATGGAATGTTCTGGATAAAAGATGCACCAAAGTTGGATTATGATGAGGATGAAAAAGTTGTGGAATTTATTGATAGATACGTATGTTGTAAATTGCCATCAAAAGATCAGGATGATGAGTTAAATGAAATTGTATCTAATGTACAAATGCACAGTAAGAAGCATTCCAAAAGTTGTAAAAAAAAGGGCACAGAATGCAGATTTAATTTTCCTAGACCCCCATCAGAAAGAACATTTGTTATTAGATCTGATACCAGCGGTAGTGTCGATGACACACAGAAAATGAGTGGAATTGAAAGTGATTCTGATGGTGGTTCTGGACATGTCTGTCTAAACTCTGAGACTGATAACGAAAATTGCAGTGGAGATACAGGAAGTGGTACAGCTACAGCTGATGCAAAAGAGCTCTTGAAATCAGTGTGGAGTGAAGTTCAAAATCAAGAAAAGCAATATGAGACAACAAATGAATTATTTGAAAGTCTGGGAATTACTCAAGATGATTTTGAAAAAGCAAATTGTGCTCTCACTAAGAAAGTTAGTATTGTATTGAAGCGTAACCCTCAAGATGTATGGGTGAATCAGTATAATCCTCACTTGCTACGAGCATGGAATGCAAATCTAGATATCCAATATATTACAGATATTTATGGATGCGTGGCATATGTTGCTTCTTACATGTCGAAAGCTGAACGTGAAATGGGACAGTTGCTGAGTCATGCGCAGAGTGAAGCACAGAGAGGTAATCTAGATGCTAAGCAAAGTATGAAAGAAGTTGGCCAAGTCTATTTACAGAACCGTGAGGTATCAGCTCAAGAGGCAGTATATCGAGTATGTAACTTGAGATTGAAAGAAGGTTCTCGAAAAGTGGAGTTCATCCCTGTGGGAGAAAATCCTGTGAGAATGAGTTTACCACTGAGTGTGATACAGAACAAATCAGATGAAGATGATTCAGATGTTTGGATGGTGTCCAGAATTGATCGATATAAGGCACGGCCAGATACTGATGAATTTGAAACGATGTGTTTGGCTTCATTCAGCTCAGAATACAGAGTCTTATCGCAGACAGAAGCATCAAATATTCATGGTAAAAAGGCTTCTAAACATGTACATGAATTAAGAAATGGATTGGGACATATACGGAAACGTACTCGTACTGGTGCAGCTGTTATAAAATATCCCAGATTTTCAGAGTCAAAGTACCCCAACAAATATTATCATAGCATTTTACAATTATTTCTTCCATATCGTGTTGATGGACAACTGAAACCACCACAATTTGAAACATATGAGGAATTCTATAAAACTGGAAAAGTCAAACTCCATGATTGTGATATTAAATCTGTCCAGTGTATTGTAGATAAAAATCATCAGAAATTTGAAGCTGCTGTAGAATCTATGGATGATGTGGAGTAGTACTTAGAAAGATTTGGTCCACAGGATGATGCATGGGCATTGATTTGTCCAGAAACTGAATCAGAAAGAC